AAAAGTAGTTGGATAAGTCCAGCAGTTTAAGGTTTCATACATGTACGCCGATCAAAACAACTTACATAATTACCACGTCTATTTTGACTAGTACTGATCATTATTTCTGCGGAAAATGATGTCTTGTGTGCAAAGTTATAAACATTTTATGTATAAATTTACAATCTTGACAAAATGTACTCATAAGAAAAGTTGAGCATAGTATATGATAGTCATGGTGTCGTAAACTTTAAAATATCATATTGTGTTATTTTGACCAAGTCAGATACTAGTAATACATGTAAAACATTTACCTTAAGTACAATATATATGTACATGTATTAGAAAAGATTATAAAATACACGTATACACAATTTAATCGTAAGTATATGATATTTTAATTATTCTTGTATATGATTTAGTTCTAAGATTTACATGAAACTCACGCAAAAACTGAAGTCATGACACCCTCTGGAACACATTCTATGGAATATACATTACCCTTTGTTGAATTTTTTGCGGCCTCCTGTGGTGAAAAAAAACTTTTGTAACATTAAATTTTGACCCTGTTGAAAATTGACCCCAAGGGTCATTTGTCAACGTTGAAAACTTACCTTTTCCCCAAAGGCACGAGTATCGGGAAAAAAAGATATGACCAGATTGATAAAAAATCTGTGTTCATCTTAAATATACATGTATGTGTCATTCCCCCCCCCCCCCCCAAAAAAAAAAAAAAAAAAAAAAAAAAAAAAAAAAAACAACAAAAAAAAAAACAACAAAAAAAAAAACAAAACAAAAAAAAAACAAAAAAAAAAAACCACAAAAAAAACAAAAAAAAATAAAATAAAGAAATAAAGAAAATAGATAAATATATTTTTCTAAATAAAAAAATAATAAAAGAAAATAAAAATAAATAAATAAATAAATAAAATAATGTGAAATATGAGCCTCATTAAAAATATAGTATAAGTTCATTTAGATCGATTTATTTGTACACAACATATGGAGCATATATATAGTTGTTCTAAACACAATTTAAAGAGAATATTTAATGAATTTCTACAGTTGATGATACTAGTTCGTGAAAGAACAATCGTTATTAGATAAAAAAAACTTAGTTTGAAAAGTTGCTTTCTCTGTGGAAGTCTCGATGGACACGTCGGACTCCGACCACATATAACCATCTAGTAGAAACAAATATCTTAAATCTTCCTACAACAGTTCCTAACCAACATACGGATTATCTTTCCTTTTTCGAATTTCGCATGGGCCAAGGATTGGCCATATCATTTTTATGTCGCCTGTTCTTCGTTAAAAATGACCCTAACAGTTACTGTCAACGCATTTTTGACTGAAATTTAATGTTGAATTGTAGGCAGAGTCAATTTTTAATGTTGAAAAATGACCCAGGTTCAGTTCTCAACAATGAAAAATGACCCATGGAGTCAACTTTCAACGGGATCAAAATTTAATGTTAACCGGCACGAATATGCCGACTTATATTTGTCTGCATTGCTCGCATTAGTAAAAAGCAGACTAAAAGTTAATAAAGATCAACCTTTTTATATGCCCGAAAGAATTTCGGGCATATTATGTTATACCCCCTGTCGTCCGTCTGTCTGTCCGCACTCACAGGAGAGTAATTATGTGGCCAGAGGGACAATAGGTAACTGTTCTTTCTCTTTGATGTCATTCATTCCGTAATGCTTTTATGTGGCTATTTTCTTTTGTGTGGCTAAAAAAAACAATAGAGAGAACAATAGAGTAGCCACATAATTACTGTCCTGTGAGAACCTCCGTCCGTCCGTCCGTTAGCAATTTGGTTTCCGGAGCATAACTTAAGTTCCATTTGGCCCACAGTATTCAAACTTCATAGGATGATTGTCCATATTGGGTAGAAGACCCCTATTGATTTTGGGGTCACAAGGTCAAAGGTCAAGGTCACTATTACCTTAAAACTGAAAACAGTTTCCAGAGCATAACTTAAGTTCCATTTGGCCCACAGTGTTCAAACTTCATAGGATGATTGTCCATATTGGGTAGAAGACCCCTATTGATTTTGGGGTCACAAGGTCAAAGGTCAAGGTCACTATGACCTTAAAACTGAAAACAGTTTCCGGAGCATAACTTAAGTTCCATTTGGCCCACAGTGTTCAAACTTCATAGGATGATTGTCCATATTAGGTAGAAGACCCCTATTGATTTTGGGGTCACAAGGTCAAAGGTCAAGGTCACTATGACCTTAAAACTGAAAAAGTTTCCGGAGCATAACTTAAGTTCCATTTGGCCCACAGTGTTCAAACTTCATAGGATGATTATTCATATTGGGTAGAAGACCCCTATTGATTTTGGGGTCACAAGGTCAAAGTCACTATGACCTTAAAACTGAAAACAGTTTCCGGAGGATAACTTAAGTTCCATTTGGCCCACAGTGTTCAAACTTCATAGTATGATTGTCCATATTGGGTAGAAGACCCCTATTGATTTTAGAGTCACAAGGTCAAAGGTCAAGGTCACTATTACCTTAGAACTGAAAACAGTTTCCGGGGCATAACTTAAGTTCCATTTGGACCACAATATTGAAACTTCAAAGGAGGATTGTTTTGTGAAGGAGGTAATACTTTATTTAATTCCCATGTCTTACAAATGCTTCATCTTTACTAAAAAAAATCATTTTCGGGCATATAATGCTCCGCCTAGCGGTGCTCTTGTTTACATTATACACTGCAGGAACTCGAAGTGTGTACGGCCTTAAGCTTAAACAATTACCGAGATTATACTTTCGCAGACAATTCAGATGTGATAGCGACAGATTCTCAGAAAAATATTGTCCATGTTCTTGCCAAGCAGCATACCGTAAGTAAGGATACAGTGCTTTTATGTACATATACGCTTTCTTGTGGATAATTGTCCTCAAGTAATAAGAAGATAAAAAGATAAAAAGAGACATTCTCCTCTTGTTGGCCATGTCAAACGAAACAGAGATTTTTTTGCTCTAAAGGAACATGCCAGAATTTATAAAAAAATATATATGTATACAATTTATCTTTGATTAAAATGTCACGTGACTGTGTTTATTTTTATCAATACCAAGAGTTCAAATGCAAATGAATTTTTACCTCCCAATTGCGCAATATTTAAATCTTTAGTCAAATTCCCCCGTAAAACCGATTCACAGTTAGTCCCTAAAATTCTAAAACCTTTATATTTGCCATTTACTATCCGAATGTCAAAGGTTTTTTTACATGTGCTCTGCATGTACATGTAACCTATTGTCATTTTCCCTAAAAATACTAAATTCTTCGGTATCTGCTCTCTCCCAAACACGAATTAAGCCCTTTTTACTCTGGTCCATCACATAAATAAAACTATTTACATTTGCCTTTCCAAAACTAAATGATGGCATATGCATTTCAAATACTCAAAACTATTGGCATTTAGTCCGCTGCAAACTTTAATACAACTTTTCAAAGTAATATCTTCTAGCATTACATATTGCATAGATTATCGCTATTTTGTTTCTTTTCAGATACACAGCATTGAAAGTTTTGCAATTCTAATTTGTGGTCATTTTCTAAGACAATACCAACAGCTGGCGTCTGCCAAAATAAAAATTGAAGAACAACCTTGGAAACGCATGGATATTGTAAATTGAAATATTGTTTTCCCTGAAATAGCAATATACCAACTTATTTTTTAACTGATAAAATGCTCAAATTTGTAAGAAACTGATGTTGTAAGTGTAAAATAATAAATTAAAAAAGGGAAAACATATCTTTTATAAGATATTACATAATAATAAAAAGTTTTATAACGGAAGGTGTTATAATATTTATCAATTTCTGCCAGCTACGAATAATAGATTTACGGTTATACAGTACCCTAGGAAATATATGGATGCTTTTGTTAATATTCTCTAACATATGCAAATGTTTGAAAGGGCTTTGGAAAATATGATAATCATCTAAATATTTTATTATTACTATTATTATTTATTGTACAAGTTATTTATTATACAAGTTAAGTAAACTACTATTTTTGAAAATAAATTATTTTGCAAATTTTCTAATGACAACATCGTCAATGGTATTTGTTTTTTTTTTATTTTCAGAATGGTGAGAAACACGTGCACACGTTTCAATATGTAAAAGAATGCGTCCGTATATGTGAAGTTTCCCAACGACGTGACGGTAACTGTTATCAATATACATATCTTAATTGTTTCTTTTAGCAAGGGATTAAGGATGCTAGCTACAGTCTCTCTCCTGCCGACTTTGTTGGTTCGAACCCCACAAACGACGTTGATTTTTCCCCATGTTAGCTTACCAGCTAGCTAACGAAAAATCGGTGATTCTACTCAAATTGCTTATTCCTTTGATAATGCAAAATTGCTTGATGGGGGCACTCTAGTTTGACGCCTAAAAAAAGGTCATAATTGTGAATTGCAACTTTTTTATGACCAAGTGAGAAAGGATACGCTATGTTGACCAAATTTGAAAAGTGCAAATAAGTGTTGAAGGTTGGTAAAAAGGGTCGTAACTGCCAATTAAGACTTTTTTTATTTCCACACATTATTGATAAGAGCTTCCTAATAAAAAGTCGTATTATGACTAGAATTACAAAGCTAGTGAATATTGCATGAAATAATTTGTGCCGCGTCCCGACAAAACCAACATAATGGGTTTGCGACCAGCATGGATCCAGACCAGCCTGCGCATCCGCGCAGTCTGATCAGGATCCTTGCTGTTCGCTTACAAACCCTAAAACAAGTAAAGAAACTGATAGCGAACAGCATGGATCCTGATCAGACTGCGCGGATGCGCAGGCTGGTCTGGATCCATGCTGGTCGCAAATCCATTATGTTGATTTTGTCGTGACGCGGCTCATTTCTCTTATGGCGGCTTCACACTCTACTCATACGAGTTGTTCAGACCAAGATCAGCCAGAACATATCAATTTCAAGCTGTATATATTACGAAATGTTCCTTTAAATTATGAATAATTTATACCAAGAAAGGAAGATGGACAATTCAATTAAAGACAATTACCGTGGTAAAATAAATGCTGAAGACAATCAATACAGTCCAGTGTAAAACGGTATAAAATTTTGTACGAGAAAAGTCGTCCAAAAAAGAGGACACTTGGACTGAAAGGGTAAAAGTTTCTTTTCAATATACTGTAAAATATTATCAAACAATTGTTACCACAGTGACTACATTCAAAATGAATAAAAATTGGAAATTGCGATGAAATGCAATTTCGATTATTTGTCATAAGGACACGAAGACTTTACGAGAGAGTTACACACCAATGCATTTCAATGGTAGCAAAGGTCTCCTTTAAGTGTGTCATCTAGTTTTTGACGAACGATTTAAAAATACTATAACATATTGATGACATAGATATAAGGTTTTATAAAATGATATGTAGGTAGGTAGCTTATGGTTAAGATTTACATCACAATAATCAACGTGAATTACTTCAGTCATGTGAAAAGTCTATATTATTAAATTTATGTAAATTTATTTATTTTGCAAATAGTAAAAGAAAAGATAAGTTGATAAGCTTAGGTTATATATTATTTTCATAGATATTGTAAACGTTTAGATTTCGCTAGTAATGTTATATTAAAATGAGATTATTCTGATATTAAAAATGAGATTATTTTGATATACATTTATTTTAACAAATTTTTCTGCATCAATATATGTTCATTCTCCAATATACTGTAAATCTTTGAATTATATCATGTGTTTATCTATTTATATTACAAATGTATTTGATATGTGTAATGTAACAAGATACTGTATATTGCATAGAAATTGTAGTAGGGCAAACAAGAATTTTATTTTTAGTTTTTAAATTAGAAACAAGTTGTGTGAGAAGGAGAAACTTGGGTAGTAACTGCATGTCATTTCACATAATTTTCTTTTTTTGATATATTTAGCTTATTTTTTAACAAACAAATTAGGCTTTACCTTTAATGTTGAATTTCCCCGATTAAAATGTTCACTTGTAATTATTACGATGAAAAATATTAATATGTAAACCTTAAAAAAACAACACAAGTTTACTTTGAATAAAAAAATTATAGTCTCAATTGAGAATATAAAATAATAACTTTTAAGCAATTCTCTTGTTCTTTAAATATTTAAATAAAGATCTAGTATAAAAAGCAAATAAAAAAATAATAAAAAATAAAAAAATAAAATAAAAAAAATAAAATAAAAAAATAAAATAAAGGATTAGATTATAAAATAAATGCAAAATAATTGTCATGGTTTGTAAAAAGTAATGTTATCTCTTTATTTGAAAATTCTCTACATGTTACACCAAATGCTTCAGTAAACAATTTTATTCATATTCCACGAAGGAGTGAAATAAATGTACTTGTTTCTTGTATAACAATTTACCTACGTTCGGTTAACCGGATAACCACTAACAAAAACAACTTATCTAAACCGAAATCCCTATATTTATGTATTTCCATTGTCTTTCAGAAAAACCCATTGTGTGTTCCGGTATAAGGGAGCTACGCGTTTTAAAAACGACCAAGTCAGCTTTTAAAGGATTTGTGGATGATGAATACCGAACTCTTCCGTATTCCGACGACCGGATATTTTCCTCTGTAGTGACAGCTAATTGGTGGTACAGTTACTTCGAGGGTGTCGACTTCAATGATACATGGTAAGTTTAAAAATAATTATGATTACCCTACCAACATTCCTTAGGGGAACACTAAAATCATAAATAAGTTATAAACAGGTTTTATCTTTATAAATATTTTTTGATAATATACAATATACAATGTTGTAGAGTTCTCAGAGACAAAATCGTAGGTGCAATTGTGTTTTAGTTTGGAAATTAGAGAATACCGATGTTGGTATATGCCCTTTTAAAAGTCTTTAATACTGATAGAATAAAAAATGTTTCTTACGGACAAAAGAGTCGCATTCACATGGAATAATCAACAATAAGAATAAATAACCAAAAATACTCATTAGACACTGAATAAACTACAAAAAAATCTAATATGGTATGTTAACAAGTTTGACATCCCATTTCCTGCAAGAGCAATTTTCATAAAATTTACTGTTATTTGATATTTTTAATGCTACCGACGCTGTTAAATTTTTTTTTGCTTCAATTCTATCCTGTTCTTACAATATGTTATAATAATTTCATAGGGATAAAGTGAAAGGAGCAGTACTTGAAGGTTTTGCAGGCCCAGCGGACAAAGGTGTCTTCTCTGCAAACGTTGAGAACACGCTGTACATGACAGCTAAATTAATTCTGTCCAGAGTTCCGCAGGTAATGAACAATAAGTGTTATCAATCTTGATGTTAAGGTTATCATATACGCACGTGAAAAACAAGGTATATTCCGCCACTGTCATTGTCCTGCAATTATATTATAATTAAGTATTGGTAGATCTACTAGCAAGAGAAATTTAAAAAAATGCTTAAAGAGTCTCTACTGAATATTTTGAAATGACGGGACTGAAAACAATTTTTCCAGATAAACGTTCCATTTAATGTAGGTCTATATCAATAACTTGTGTACCAAATATCAGATCACTTGCTCACTCCGCTATTCCACAAAATCGTGAAAAATGGCCCAAAATTAAAAAGCGCCGCTTCGCTTAATACTCAAACCAGGCTAAGAATAGTACAAAATATGGTTTTCAATTAATTTGTAAATGTATTCCCTAATTATCTCTTGTATATATTTCTGTTGTAAGTGTTCCAACTGATGTAAGAAATTCAAATTTTATGTTTTTAGACTTTTGAACCTCATTGGAGAGTGGGGGTGAATTTTTATTGTACAATTAAGAATTGAGGGAGTTTTTCAAAATAAGTACATTGATCGTCTGTACAGATTATATCACCATCTATCCTTAAAACAACAGTTTTGGCGGTATCGAATTCAAAAGTAACGTAATGCTAGTAATATTGATGTAGTATTTGAACAGTGAACAAGAAACCTTTCTACTACAGGCATCTGTTTAATTCAAGGATTCAATGGTTCGAAGTAAATCTATTTTTTAAATTATCAAATATGAGCTTATTATAGCTGTAATATAAAGAAGACTTGTATTCCAAATAAATAAATAATATTACATATTACGAATATAATTTAGTCTATAATGAAATAAACAGTATATATTGCATCAAATGAAAACTATTGATGAATGGTGTAAAACTAGTTAAGGATTTAGGATTATGAATTCATTTTTTTCAGATACATCAAATGGAGATAAATTTCCCGAACAAGCATTACTTTGAAATTGACTATACGAAATTCCCCAAAATAAGTTTTGAAGGCTGTTTTAACAGGGTAAGTTTTATACTAGAAAATACAACTTCATATAGAAAAGAAATGATTTAACCTTGATTATATCTAACTAGTAGTTCTTTTAAATGTACGTCGTGTTTACTGATCAAAATTTGTCATACACAGGAATCTAGGGTATAAGCGATACAATACTATGATTTACATATAGATAATACCTACTTAAAGTTGAAGATTTAAAAGTGCCGAAACCGATGCCATAGAGCGTTAGAGATATTTGTCTTATTCTTTTTCATTAACAGACTTAATTAGATCGACACTTTTATTTCTGTTTCATTGTTCTGATTACAAGTTTACAAACTTCGCATTCTTTGCCCATCATCTTTAGTAAATAGCACTTTCATCAAAGGCTATGTTTTCATTTGAGGCCGGTTTTTAACTTACTTACAGATGGGTTTTTTTTCTGACAAACTTCTTTTTGTGCTTTAAATAAATTACTCGGGGCATAAATTGATCTATACCTAGCGGGGCATATTGTTAACCCGAAAGGCTTCTGTTTATGAAACGGTAATGTTCATAAATGTTTTAGGGTATTTTATATCTTTACTATTAGTTTTGCTTTTATTAGGTTTACTTTATATATTTTTAAAAGGTATATACGGCATTAGACAACCCATCTGGAAATATACGTGCTGTGGTGAAGAGGAGTAATATGTCAAAGCTCTAAAAGGTGGAAATGTACACGACGAAAATATTTCTTTTCTTTCCACATTTTCAAGAAGTATGTGTATCTAGTATCTAGCAAATAAAATATATCAAGAAAGAACTTCGTCTGTCATTTTGTTTAAGCTTTTTTGAGTAATTACTTTCAGCATATTTATATGTTATGTTTAGACATAACGCAATGAAATATTGTTGTGGCCCTCTCCCTTTAGGAATAGTTTACCATATATTAACTTATTTTTCGATAGTATGACACATACACACTCCTAAAAAGCTGCTCTATAAAAATGAGTTTTATGCGACGAGAAAACTCTCCAAAATATCAAGGATTCGATTAACGACATAGCTTTTACAACAATAAACGTAAGGACTATTCAAGTATGTGCATCGCATTCTGCTTTCTGCCGCACTTCCTTACTCTCCCGCACTGAAGTATTCTTACACACTTTCTTTACTCTTCAGCACTTCCTTATTCCCCTGCATTCCCTTTATTCTCCCGCACTTCTTTACCCATTATCCACACTTCATTATCATCCCGCACTTCCTTACTCTCCCGCAATGCAATATTCTCCAGCACTTCCTTATTCTCCCGTACTGCAGTTTATCCCCGCATTTCCTTATCCTCCTGCACTTCCCTACTCTCCCACACTTCTTTATTCTCCCGCACTTCCTTTTCTCTCCTGCACTTCCTTTACTCTTCAGCACTTCTTTACCCATTCTCTCGCACTTCCTAATTCTCCCGCATTTCCTTTTTCTCCAGCACTTCTTTAATCATTCTCACGCACTTCCTTCTTGTCCCGCACTGCAATATTCTTCCGCACTCCGTACTGCAGGATACCCCCGCACTTCATTATTCTCCCGCACTTCCTTACTTTTTCGCACTTCTTTATCCTCCCGCACTTCCTTTACTCTCTCGCACTTCTTTACCCATTCTCCCGCACTTCCTTATTCTTCCGCACTGCAATATTCTCCCGCACTTCTTTACTCATTCTACCGCACTTCCTTCCTGTTCTGCAATGCAATATTCTCCTGCACTTCCTTATTCTCCCGCATTGCAATACTCTCCCGCACTTCCTTTTTCTCCTGCACTGCAGTATTCTCCCGCATTTCCTTATTCTCACACACTTCCTTTACTCTCCCGCACTTCTTTACCCATTCCCCGAACTTCCTTTACTTTTCCGCACTTTTTTACCCATTCTCCCACACTGCAACATTCCCCCCGAACTCATTCTCCCGCACTTCCTTCCACTCCTGCATTATTTTCTTATTCTCCCGCACTGTAATACTCTCCCGCACTTCCTTATTCTCCTGCACTGCAATACATGTATTCTCCCGCACTTCCTTACTGCACCGCATTCACGAAAAAGAGAAGTAAAATAGAAACTGTGCTGTTTTTATGTCTGTCATATATAAGATTCATTCAACAACCATTTTTTCTCTTCTACACCAGCGACAACGAACATAAGTTATAACAGAACATTTAAAAATCATTTAAAATGCAAGTAAACAAATCACATCTATAACTGGGGTTCTTAACATAGTCAATCGTTGTATTTAAATTAAACCAATTCAGGCCTGTGCAGTGTAAAGTAAAATAAGATTAGCAGGTTATATATGGGGTAAAGATATCGACAATTTTCAACAATGACAATAAACAACAATGATCAAGAACTTGGCTAATAGCATTTTAAGTGAATCAAATATCAGCACAGCAATACTTTTGTTCAAACAATATTGCATTATTATACACAGTTTATTGTATTCTTGTATATTATTTTATATTCTTGACAAATTTATGAAGATTTATAATGGTACAGTAATATAGTATTACACATTGTATTTGCAATTTGACATTCAAATGCACTACCAGAGCTGCGCCAATCTCTTAAGTTACAAAAATCGTTCCACACTTGATATTACACCGTTGAGAACATTGCCGCTGGAGTGAACGGAACTAACAAATCTGGTTACAGTACTGTCCTTTTAGGAGACTGAAGATTGTCTTTACTTGTCAAAAGTGCAATTAAAAACAGGGTTGATCCCACCATCTTAATGGATGCGTCAATTATAAGCACTGCTGCGTAACTGTCAGAGAAGTCACGAAAAGCACCTGGAAGAAAAGAAAAGCAATGTATTCTTGAAGAAACTTTTGAACATTTGAAGTTAACATTTTTCTACTAATTTATTCAATCAAATTAACTTAAAACATAATCATGATTTCGAAATGCAATTCACTCGGGGATAGCGATTGAAAATAGAGAAGAAAAGGGCATAGTGAAGTATGTCTTGCTAAGGCATGTCAACGTCATTACAGTCCCCATGCATCCAATTCACCATGCCTTTTTGTCAATATAATTGGTTAAACATATCATTTTTTTTGGTTAAATATCCTAGTATAATAAATTATAAATATAAATTCTTAAAAGTTTGTGGTTTTTTTATATTTGACTTATTTCGAGACAGGTAAAATTATTTTCAAAAAGGATTAATGAAACAGTTGCTGGGTCACCAAATTTATGCCCCTTTATCAATGTACGCTATGTCTGCAAATGAGGACACGAATTTGAATTTAGTACATGATTGTGTTTGAATTGAAATAATAAAATTATTCATATACACCCCTTTCTTATATAAAAAATATACTGTCTTAACTTTGTGTATCTATGTGGGGAACGATCTAGTTTTTTTTACATAATCAATGATTTACATTATGTGGTAAAGGTCACCTACGAGTATCAACTTTAAACAACGTTTGAAATATTGCCATTTTAGGAAAACAACCATTGCTGAATGTCACCGTGACCGCTCAAGTCCAGTGCGTATACACCCAGCAATAAATGCTTACATTAGTCAGGATATACGCCCTGATTGTTATAACCTCAAATTGTGTCCTTGACTTAATTGCTCTTTCCAACTGAAAAAAGTCATTTTCTCTATATTTGATACGGTAGAATATTTTCCAAAAGATGTTGAAAAATAGACACAGTAAGATCCAAATTAGTCGAATAAAAGAAAAATATTCAACTTTAACTTATACAACAAATATAAATATAATATCGCTAATAGAAGTAGAATTTCGTACTATAAAATATAAAGAAAGAAGCTTTTGAAATGAATGAATGCATTTTGTGTCGGATATTTAAAGTACACTATTTGGTCCTGATATTTTTTATGCTTACAGTTTGTAATTCGACAAATAATGTGAAATCTTAGAGATAGTTATTGTTAAGGTTTTTTCTATGTAGTATCATTCTTATCATCAGAAATACCTAGTGGAGCCGAGTCGTTTATCACCCATGTTTAAAGTAATGGTCTCCGTGTTGAGAAATAAAATAATTTATAATAAACCTTAGCCTGCTAGCGGCAACTAAATATATCCATGCAACTTATGCAGACCTAGATCCGCCGGCACATCCATGCTATATCATAGTCTGCTATTCAGTCAGTACTTATAATTGTGAAATTTTTCCTGAAAAGATGGATAGTTTTGTCTAAATTGAATGATGGGTACGACAATTTAAGATATTTAGCGGGGTAATGAATAATAGAGACATTACTAAGGGCCATGTTAATGACTGGTATATATTTTTACCATAAACAGGGCCACATGTGGAAGCCAGGATGCCGATTGTAGTTAGTATGAGCCCAAACGCAACAGGAAAATTCTGATTTTCAACTAGTTTTGCCACAACAATTGATGCAACGCATACGACTCCGCCCATTGGGATTCCTGTCAGTCCAACGCCAATCATCATCATTGCGTAATTTGATGCAAGCCAGATTACTATCTGTCCCACGCCTCCACAGACAGTGAAAGATATTGCAAGGATGAGTTGTTTCATACCGGAAATATGCTTCAAAAATCCTGGCAATAATCGCGCTGCTAGTCCACATAAGTTAAGGGGAAGAAATGCATTCAATGCTTGACTATGTGTGTAACCATTAGATTCAAAGATATCTATCAGCAGAGACACATAACCATTTTGTGAGGCGATGATTATTCCCGTCGCCATAAGAATAGTTACAAATGGAACAGAGAGAATATCAGTTATGCTCCTAGCAATCTTACTACAGGCAAATGTTTGAGTCTTTTCAAAAGATGATCCAGATTTCAACTGCTTATTCTGTGTTATTTGAGAATCATTTGTCACTGATATTTTCGTTATGCCATTTTCTTTTGAGTCAATGGTACCTTCAGATGTATTGACATTCTTCGTTACTGAAAAAACTTCAATGTTACTTTGATCTTTATCAATCTATTTAATTATATTATAGTCTGTTGTCGAATTTCTGCCAGTGACGTTCATGACTATTCCTCGTCCCTGACATTTCAACTTTCCTTTCGTTTTTTGTTTATCAGCATTACTAAGAGTGTACGAAAAGAAAATACTTATGGCTAGATTATTGAACAGGTATCCGCTTAAAATAAGGAATGTACCATGGAGCTGAAAGTTTTCTAAGATGTAATCCATGAGGTATGGTTATGTTAGGCCGGCAAAGCTTATGGACGCTGAATGAAATGCTATTGCAATTGGAAGCTGTCTTTGTGTAAACACGTGACTCAAAATCACTGCACTACTTACGAACATCAAAGAAACGCCGATCGCTGTAAATAGAAACATTTTCTATTAATAACAATGCACATTATAGGCAACAACGTTCAAATGTCACAAACAAGAAAACAATAGCATACTGATGAGATAACATGGCTTCAATTTGAACTGGTTTCATTTCTTAAATATAACAAATTTTGCCTGATTGTAATGAAAGCTATGAAATAAGATACCGGTTTATAATGTACTTTTGAAGAAGAAAAATGAAAAAATGGTGGTCTTCAGGATAGTGCACTGTTAAATTAAGGACTATCTACGTTTTTTATGAAGAAAAAACTTTTTACAAAAATTGCGGCGGTATTTTACTGACACCAAACATTGATTTTTGAATTAATGCCTATTTTTTATATTTGGAAATCACTTAGATAAGTGCCTTCTCTTCACAGGTAAATGTTCCTTCAAGACATTCAAGTAATTACAACACTTAGGAATCCGCCTCTTAAATTGATTTTAGTT